TGAACAAATGTTGGAAGTCTTTCTTTTGAGACCTGGGGAGGGACAAGGATATGGAAAAATCAACACAAGTATTCAACACTGTATAATCTGCCTGTGGAAACAGACAAAGAAAAATTTTATGAAGATTAGAAAGGAGAGCTAAAACAGCCAATATTCTGAAGATGCTATGATTGCATATGAAGAAAATACCAAAGACTGTATAGATCATTAGAATTCATTTCACTAGTTAGCTATGTTCTGGATACAGATCAAGATAAAAATAAAAATAAGATAAATATATTTCTCTAGGTCAGCAGAAAGAAATAGAATATGAAATTTTTAGAAGTAGCATGGAAAAATATGAAATACCTAAGAATAAATTTAATAAAAGATGTGTAAGACCTCCACACAGAAAACTATGAAACATCATTAAAGGAAATTTTAAGATCTAAATAAATAGAGGAACATACCATGTTCATGGACCAGAAGTCTCAACATCAAGAAAAATATCGGTGTTGCCCAAATTTATTTAGAGACTTCACCCTCCATCAAAATTCCAACAGTTCAAAAGTCTGTTGCTATTGTTGCCTTGTTTTGGTGGAACTTAATAAGCAGATTTGAAAATGTTGTGTTAAATGGAAAAGACAAAGAATACCAAGAAACTCCTAAAGAACAACAACAACAAAACAAAGTAAGAGGCTTCAGCTAATGAATGTAAACTGTAAACTCTTCTCGTAAAAGCGCAGTGTGGGACTGGTGCAAAAACACACTCTAATAGACAAAAGGAATAGAACAGGGATAGCAAACCACTTCACACACATTCGAGCACTTGGTTTATGACCAAAGTCGCCCTACAAAACAGTGGGAATGGAATGGATTTACCAATGATCATGATGAGGCAACTGACTGTCTTTAAACGTTTTTCAAAAATAAAACCTGATCCCTATCTCACACAATGTTCAAAAATTAATTCCCAGCGAATCGTAAATGTCCATTTGGGTGTTAAAACTGAAAATCTTCCACAAGATAGAAGAACATCTTCATAATTTAGAGTAGGAAAAGACTCACCGAACAGGACACAATAAAACACTAACCATAATGGAAAGGGACTCAATAAAGGAGTTAGACATTCAAGTTAAGAACCTCTGTTCATCCTAAAGCAAGCGCAAGCAAACAACAGAGTGAATATTCTGCCACAATATAATCAGCAATGAACTCATACTCAAAGTATATTATAAATACCTACAAATCAGTAAGAAAGACACCCCAACTGAAAAGTGGGCAAAAGACGTGAACTACCATGTCGCAAAATACTTCTAATTGCCAATGGACATGAAAAGTGCTCAACCTTACCAGTCAGGATAAAGCAAATTAACTCCACAATGTGCTATTACTACAAAACCCCCAGAATGACTGAAATCACAAAGGCTGCCAATGTTGGCAAGGGCACAGAGCAAGGGAAGCTCCCGTACGCTGCTGATGGGAGTATGTTGGTACCAGCACCCTGGAAAACAGGTTGATGGTATTTACTGGAGTTCTTGTTACCTGTAAGCTAGCCTTCCTCTCCTGCTGAGTGCCGACAAGTAGAAGAAACCCGCGTCCACGGGCACCAAGAAACACACACAAGATCGGTCACAGCCACTGCACCGTAGCGCCCCAGCCAGACCACCCGAAGGCCCACCAACAGCACTGACACACGGTTGGGGGGTAGGCGTACTTGGGAAACAGCTTCCTGTGCAGCACAGAAAAATGAGCAAACTACAGCCACACGCAGTGACATTCCTGAATACTACAAACACAGTGGTGAGCAAGGAATCCACGGTCTAAGATGCCCTGCATCCTTGCTCAAAAGGCACAAGTCAAAACCAAAATATTGTGTGTAGGGGTTAGTTCTTTGGCTGAAAATCTATAAAGAACATCAAGAAAGTATTTACAAAAAAAAATCAGGAGTTTCTTTTTCACCTTCAGGGGAGGGTGAGTAGTGATTAGAAGAGGGGCCTTCTGGGGCGTTGGCGATACTCTGTTGTGTTCGGTTTCGAGGTGTCACTGTGATAACTCACTGTACATGCGTCTTTATTTTGTGAACTTTTCCGTATAAATATGAAAACTCAGTTAAAGGGGGTTAAATAATAAATCAAATGCATCTACGATAAAATACATCATTGTGTCCACCAGGACCTATGTATACTGCCTGGAAAATGGGAAGAGAATGACTTAATTAAAAAGAAAAAACGGCAAGCGGCCTCACTGTGGCCCATCATTTTTGACAGCTTTTGCACTGACGTGTTACCAAGCACCGTGGGTCACGGAGCACTGCTGGCCAGCTCATCCACTTCACGAGCAGACCGTGGTGCCCTGGCCCACGTGATGCACATTATAGAAAGGCCCTGAGATCTTCCAGAAAACCTCCAGCCACTGGTACCCAACACTTGCTCCTCCCTTCACTCCTCACAGGTTGATCTTTTCTTTGTTCTGTTGTCAACGCAACTGTCACTTTTTCAGGGCATCGTTCCCTGTCCCCATTCCCACGCTCACCCCTCCTCTGGGGTGACCAGCATCATGGGCCTCTCCTTTTGAGTTAGTGCTGGTCATTCTCCTTCAGGCCCCACCTGCCAGATCCCTGCTCGGAGGCTGATCCCTGGGGACCAGATCACCGGGACACCCTGCCCAGCTGACCTGTTGGGTGTCGCTGATGGGAGGCAGTGGCAGAAGCTGGAGAGAGGGAGAAGAGAAGCCCAGCACGCCCTCCTCACTCCTGTTTTGCTGTGGTCTGTGTTTCTAGGGGTGGCTGCTTCTCCGGAGGCCCACGCCCATCCTTCCCGGCTCCAGCCCACACGGCCCCCAGCTCCATCAGTCCTGCCGCCCAGGGCGGTGACCATGCCCCAGCTGTGCCCTTCCCTGGCTCCAGGAACCTTGCCCCTAGGAATCTAAGCCATTCTCCCACGAAACTCCCTTCACTGGAACTAGGCTGGATTCTGTTTTCTGCTGAGACCCTGCAGAGTGGCAATTTTATATCATTTTATTTGTATGATTATTTTTATCAACATTTGCCTTCTTCCACTAGCCTGTGAGCGTTGTGACACAGGTCCTTCAGAAAGTGCCAACCAATATTTGTAAAATGATTTAGTGAGTTAATAAATGCATGAATGCATTTGCATTCGAATCAGAATATACTATACCTAGTAACGAGGACTCCTGAAATGTCCCTGCTACATTTGATGTGCCACCAGCCTATCAGAGCAAACATTTTTTTCCTGTGTGGGTTGAAAACAGCCTTTGTTGGCAGGAATATTTTACTCATGACAATAATTTCAACTATTCTAGCAATAAATGTAAAAGCTATGATTTCTCAATTCAAAAGACATAACTTTACCTGAAATAAGTCATCAGTGATGGAATTCCATGTGTACTGCAGTCAGGTACAGCTCTAAGAGTCGGCAAGAATGCAATAAAAACATTCACTGGGTAAAGAAGGCTCTGTGTCTCTGAGTTTTGCATAACCTATGACGGGTAACTCTAGGAAATAATTACTGAGTTGTTATAGGGTGCTACTAAGTTGTTACTAAGCATCAGGAGGGTTAACCACAGGCAGGAAATGAAGGCACAACTTCCCATGTCTTCCCAGCACCAATGGACTATCAACTCCTCATTGTTGTCTTAGAGTGAAAGACCATCTGGGCCGATCCCAATATTAGGCTAAGTTACATACTAATGGACACAGTGAGATAACTTCTGCAAAACGAACTGGAAAATTCTGCTTCTAGGCCACTCATCAGCATTTCCTGAGCGGGGTCTGCAACTCTGCAGATTCTCTTCTTTTATGGGAGGAAAAGTACAGAAAAATCAGATGGCTTACAGGCGTTCTGATGCACTAACCAAGATCTGCCACACCAGTGTATGCCATACCATGTGACACCGGAATTTTAATCTTGAGGAAACTAGTTTACAAATTGTAATCACAACCAAATACCTCCTGTATCAGGAAAGATTCCTTCCAGGGGTATCTTAAAAGCAACAATCTACCTTGTGCGCAAGCTCCTGGAGGGTAACATAGTCCGATAAGGCCAAGGGTCTTCCTTTTCTGGAGTCTCTTTCCTGGTTGAACCTCTCCTGCTTCTTCTGCTAACTTTTTCCTTGTATTGTAAAAGTATCCAGTTCTGTTCATTCTAACCAACAGGAAGAGCTATGGCAGTCCTTCCTCTAGTACGGCAGGAGTTTAAGATTAAGTATAACCTATCACCAAGCAAACTTGCTCGTTAATGAAGACCTTTCTGATATGGCCCGCACTGGGACACAGGTCTGATTTTGTGATCCTGGGTGATACGGCATGGTTTTAGTAATGGGTACTATATTAATCACACCTTGTGAGAGGGTTCGGGAAGAAGTGATTGAGTTAAAAACAGTTAAAATGCAGTTGTACTGCTAATTCCTTTTACAACCACATAACTGGCTTTCCTATGTCCAATCTGGTGCAACAACAACAACAAAAATTCCTTTTTCCTTATTCATTCTCTTAGGCGGTAACTGCTATAGGAAATGACCACACCGGGTCCTTACTGACGGCTCCGCTAAAACAAAAGGGCATTTAATACCCGATCCTGCCATTACCAGTGACGAGAATGAAGTAAAAATGAACTGCGCTCCACCTTTCTTGCCCACATATAAACCGATATTGTTTTCTACTGGGGGGAGCGGGCAGGAGGAAGTACCGCATTTAGTTCATCAGGGCTGATACACCCCCCGCCCAGGACCCACTCACTTCCATTCCCGTCAACACCACCCACTTCGGAGGCCCCAGTACACGAAGGGCCCACAGCCTGGCAGGGTCGGGAAATAAGCAGCTCTTGCACAGTCTGAAAATCACGACTCCGGATGCCTTCCCAGCACCGAAGTGGAGCGGGGGGCCGAGCCCCGGGGGACCCGGCAGCAGCGTCTGGGGTGCCCGCAGGCCGGGGCCTTGCCCCCCCCGCAACGCTCTGGGTCCCCCACGGTTCCCGCAGGGACCAGCCGCAGGTCCTTACCCGCCAGTCCGCCGCCACCGCCGCCGCCTCCTCCGTCGTCTGCGTGCCCCTTCCTTCGCTGCAGGATGAAGTAGGGGTTAGCCCTCTCGGTGATCCACAGCGCGTTGGCCAGCAGCACCTCCTCCGGGTTCACCCACATGTTCCCGGGCGCCGCGGGCGGACGCACAATGGGGTGGCGGGTCGGCTCCTGCACACACCTGCGCGCACGGGCGCGCACCCCCGGCACACGCTCGCCTGCCTGCCCGCTGGGTGCGGCGGCGGAAAGGGACCTCAGCAGCGGGTGGGCCGCAGCGCCCCAGCCACAACAAAGCCCCCGCGGGCGGCCGAGGTGGACGGCGAGGGCGCGGGCACCGTGAGCAGCATCCTCCCCGCGCACCGCCGCCTCCCCCCGCGAGCCCGCAGCCGCAGACGCCCAGGCCCGCCGGCAGCAGCCCGGCTGCTGCGGCCCAGGGCGGCGGGAGGAGGGGGAAGCGGTGTGGCTCAGTCCCGGAGTCCGGCTGGGCGGCGGGCAGGGCTGCGGGCCGCGCGAACTGCTTCGGCGCCGCGGTGTGGGCCGAGCTGGGCCGGGGCGCGGCTGCTCCCGCGGCACCGACCGAAGCTCCGGGCCGCCTCGGTCCCGAGCAGCCCAGAGCCCCGGAGCCCACTGAGCGTTAACACTCCGTGTCGGGGCCACTCGCACCCGCGGCGAAGCCCAGCTCCTCGCTGGAAGGACGCCCCGGACACTGCGAATGAATGGCGACAGCGCGGTTCACTTGGAGCGAGCCGGGGTGGCACCAGTTTCCTCGGGCGCGGGTCCTCCGTGGGTTCTGCGCGCCGCGACTTGCCGCTGCGGCTGGCTTTGGAGGAACCTCCTGGGGACCGAGTGGCAAACCCTCGGCCCCACGCCCATCCCAGCTGGGAGGACGCCACTGCCAGCCTCCAAAGGCGGGTGGAGTGAGTGCGCCGAGCGTGTTTATGGTAGACGCTCCGTAGGCTAGCGCCACCCCTCTTCCCAGGAAATGAGCGTTTCAAGGTTCCAGACTGGGAGCTAGATACCCGGGTCGGAAGTGTGCGCAGCCAATGGCTGTCGATGTTTTTGTTTCCTGCATCCCTAGGGCAAGTCATGTGCTAAACTTGTCACCGCCTGTAGCCCCTCCCCCTCTCCATTCCTTTGTAATTAAAGTGGCCCAGCTAAGTGCATTACATCACTTCTTTGCCTGACCTGTGGGGCATGAGCAATAGCGAAGTTGGAAGCAGCCCAAAAGCTCAGAACAACTGATTCACGCTACAGCTGTTCCTCTATCAGGCATTTGGAGCTTCGAGGACCAGGCATGGCAGAATGCTGGGATTTATCCGCACTTTAATAGGTGGATTAAAAAAGAATTAATCATTGAAATCAAAGACCCACAAACCAGGCCAGTTTTATCCCTAGACAGCTTTTTGCTTTCTGCCCCGTACTTCGACTCGCTTGTGGTGATCACAGCTCATCTACCTAAGTATCTGATGACCTTTCCAGCTCTTTTTACACCCAGGAGACCCGCAGACAGACGGCTCAGCACAAAGGGGCTCCTCTTCCGAGGTGACGGGAATTCTCCGGGCTCTGCTTTGTCATGGAAGTTGGGCAGTCCCAGGGACTTCTCCCTTTCCCAGTGGACAGAGCATTCAAACGACACTTTCTTGGATGGACATCAAACGTTTTTACTTGCGTAGCTCCCCCTTGGATTGTTGAGTCCCTCCAAACGGACGAGCGAGCGCGTCCCGCCGTGTTCCCAAGGCCGGCTCTGCGCCTGCTGGGGTCCCACACCGGGGGGCTCTCCACCAGTGAAAGTCTCCGTTTGCGTTATCGCAGTGACCGACCTTCTGCCTCTTCCGAAAACATTGGAGACCTCGACATTTACGGAAATTTCACCTACTTAACAGACTCAAAAATGTCACCCGTGACCTTCACTCATGGCATGGGGCTTCAGGCACAAAATCACCTGCGAACAATAAACAATATGATGCAAAAGTGCATATGTAAACATTGTATTACTAATATAGTTATATCACTTAATAGTTTTGAAGTGCTTCTATAGATGCTCTTCTATTTTATGTAATTAGTGTTGTTTTTTTTCTTTTTAAAAAAACAGCTCTACCCAGTGTCTTCATACTCTCTATCTCTTGGAGTATCCTTATTATTTTTTTCACTGTTGTGGCTTGACGTTTTCTACTCTAGCACTAAAGTATAAAATTAGATTAGCATTTTCTCTATTGGTGCCAAAATGCTGCTTATTTATACAATCACTCATTAATTCACTCAACATGTAATTATTGAATGCCTGCTATATAGCCTGGGAATACAAGTGAACAAAACATACAAAGTCTCTCCCTTCACGAAGGTTTAAATGTAAAATTAATATTAAAAACCAAAAGAAATTCATAAAAACTTGCTTTGAAAACAAGATTGGACACCAAGAGGAAAGAGAAAAAAACTTTTAAAAATTCTTCGCTACTTCCTACTTCATTGAAAGAATTAGCATTCCCTGCGGAAGAGCAGGGCCTCCCCCATAATAACGAATTGTGATAACTTGTAGTAGAAGGATGTTGCAATGAATCAGAGAAATCACAAGGAAGTTATGGCAGCTTGCTGGTCCTATACTACCAACTGCTCATTTATTAAAATGTGGCTTCGTTTAAAAAAAAAAAGGAAGGAAAAGAATCAAATACACCTGAGCTAGAACTAACACAGAGAGAAATTCATTAATCCAATCAGTTTCTCAGTGAAACAAGTATTTTTATCTTTTCATTTATTCTTGTTGGTATTAAACCCAAGGACTGTCTCAGCCACCGAAAGAGGAAAAGCTCTGAACAGACAGACACCTAGGTGAGATGGGGGTAAATGCTGTCACAGTCTTTGTGTCTTGCTGAGATGTCCGACTTTCCCCTACCCCCAAATGGAAAACACCAGCTTCCACAGAATTCTAACGGCGCCACCCTGGAGCAATCAGTGGGTTTACCACTTAATGGGCAGATTTGCCTAAAATACCACGAGGATGGGGAATTCGTCTTTGGCACTTCTCAACCCCATGCCTATCATGTTCTCATCTTTTCTGCTTCATCGCCTTCACAGTGCTGTGTTTCCCGCCCTGTCCTCGCCCTTCTCCCAGTACGCCCTCTGCTTTGCCCTCTAGGGACTTGCCCTGCCCTGGAAATACCATGGATTTGGGGGGCTTTATTTCCACCCACACCCCTCACCTCCCAAATTGCTGTGCCCCCTTCATAGTCTCTCAGAAGTAAGGGCTAACAGCTGCAAATCATTAGTCTTAGCAAGCATCCCATCACCCAGTACTCCCAGGAGTGGTCAGGCCAGTAGGAAATTCAGCTCCAGCTTCTGCAGTGAGAATTCACCCAGAATGATAAAATGCTAACACTTCGTTGGGGTGATGGCAACATCTGCTCCCCTAACCTTCTAGCTGAAAGTAACATGTTAACATGGACCATTGTCAAAAAATGCCCAGACCTTCCCTATCTAGCCTGGACGGGCATTTGGAATGTCTAGTGTCCAGTGAGGGAGAATGAGAAAAATGGCCGTGGGAGGTAGGCAAGAGTAATATTTCCAAGATCCAAGCCTTTGCAGTAGCTTTGATAGCTGATACGGAGACCTTCACAGCTGATCTGAGTTACTTGCTAATCCAGCTGGAAAAACTAGCTCAACCAGTCATTACATTGGCTACTCTGCAAGTAATAGAGCTAATTGATGATCCAGAAGCCGTAGTTTGATAATCTCAGTTTTCAGTGCTGAACAGACCTGCAGACTGGACCGTGCTTCGGACAGTGTGATTTGAGGGAAAGACCCTTCCGCAGAGTCGTGATCTGCATGGTATTGCCTTGCCTGCGTTCAGTGGCTCGCTCTACCTTTTGGATTGTGAGGTGCTCTGGAAACTAGAAATGAATAAACGCATCATTTCTCTCCATGTTGGAGACACTGTGGCCAGGTGACCTCTGTTGAATGCATCTGTGCTGCTGAAATGAAGGAAGGGAAGAAGACAGCAATCTCCTCGGGAGGGGAAAAGATGAAGCTGGGTATTAGCAGAGATTCATTTTCTGATTAACTTTCTGTTTGCCTGAGAAAGAGGCCAAGCGTGCAAGGGTGGGAACGAGTGATAAGGTAAAGAGCTTACGCCACAGGGGAGGGTGGGGAGACACTGGTCTGTTTCAAAATCTTCCACAGTGAGTTCCCTGATGGCCAAGGCTGCCAGAAAATCAGGTTAAAACTCTAGGCTTAGCACAGGGCCTCCGAAAGTGCCTAACGAGGAGGGGCCTATATGACTGTTTAGAAAATCTTCCAAACTTAAGAAAAGACTCGGCGTTGGAAGTTGGTCTTATTGTCTAAGACAGTGTTGTGGCCCCAAGTCTTCATTGCGACGTTTCCTCCTTTCTCCACAGGCTATTTCTCCCATTTTTGTTCGAGAACTGAGAGCCCGTTTTTATATAATGCTTCCCTGGCCATTTTCACCACCGGGGTCTGGGTGCTGGGGTCCACTCACCAGCTAGACCTGAGTCCCAGGCCCATCCCGGAGAGGCGGTGATAGAGGGGAGGGGTCAGTGGGTGTGGGATAGCCCCCAAAGGAAAATCAAGGAGCCAGCATCCCAATGAAGTGCAGGGCTATGCAGAAGCCTGCGCAGTGTGCTGGACGACCATTTTTTGACAGTTTGTTTTTTAACGGCTGTATCTTCTCGGCTACCATTTGATGTTATGCAAATACAACACACTTTTTAAAGTGAATGCTACAAAATCTAGTGGTTTGACCCTTTTGATAATTAGGGTCAGAGGTCATTTACCTAAAAAACAAACAAACAGAAAAACAACAATAAAAAAGGAGGTTATTGCAAGGCTCACACAGACTAAATTAGGGCAGAGATCTTTAGGAAGCTCTAGGACCAGTCTGTCTGTCTGTCTCTCTATCTGAATCTCTGCTTCTCTCTACAAATTTCCTTTGGCGACTTTTCTCTGCCAGCTGACCTCCTTTCCTTACAGGCAGTTTCTGTTCCTCGGAACCCAAGTGCGCAGGACTCATGGGAGCCTCTCCAGTTCCATCGTTCTACGGTGGTTTTCAAGCCATAACTCCCACCACTAACAAAATCCTTGATCTGTGTGTTGCTGAGCTGTGATTCATGAGAGGGGAATTGTTATGACAGGGGAAGTTGGTTGGTTTTTTTTTATCTTTTTGTCCGAGAACCAGGGTGTGTCCAACCTCTCACTGCTTGTCATTCAGTCAGATCACCAAGACACAGCAGCTGTGTATGTTTGCATATGTTTGTGCAACTGGTATTTTGCAAATCTTCACTTATGGCTTATTTTTATTACAAAATTAGTCATTCTGAAAGTTGACCTATTACTTAGACTTCAAATACCTATTAGTTGGGGAATATCTGAAGTCTCTCTCTCTTTTTACACAAGCCAACAGACATATCAGTAGAGGCCAAAGCTCTTCAACGTGGCGGGTGGCTGTGGGCTCCGACCCTCGTGGAGGAGCCGCCTCATTCATTCCTCTCGGGACGGACTGCCCTCCACAGTCCTGCTGCTCTTCTGCCGGTGACTCATCTGCCCATTTCCTCTCTCATTAAAATTACAAACAAATGAACGCAAACCATCGGAAGGATTTCTTCAAGAACCACAGGTACTAGTACCAGCAGGCTGGGACGTCGATGGTCACACCCACAGCGGTGTGTTCTCTGAATTGCACACATGTGTGCCTCTACACCAAATCAACAGCTTGTTTCTTTGCAATAGAAGGATATAACCTTTTCCTTCTGAGGATAAGAACCAACATGCGTCTTGATCTTTTTTAAATAAACTACTTTCATGTGCCTCTATATGTTTCTATAACAGAAGACTGATTTCACAGATTCTCTAATTCAAGACTTTGGGGGGAGATTGCATAATTTTCTTTTCAGAATAAAACAAGTTGGCTCTCTTTTTATAATACTGACAACATTTATCATTAGAAAAATACTATATTCTATCTTAAATCTCAAGCCTTTGAAACATGTTTACGGTGTATTTGACTAAATGGTGTAAA